ACTGCATCTCCTGGAAACACTAGGTTAAAAGGAACAAGAGTAAGCAACATAATACCCAGAGGAAAGCTGCAGTTCCCGCTCTTCAGCAGGAAGGCAAACACTGTTAAGAGGTCTGTATCTCCAAAATCTTTTCTGTGAGGCTGAAACTTATCCCTGTGGCGAAAGATTTGCATAATGCCTTTGCACCACTTAATGTCCTCAAAGGAGGTCTTCAGTGGGATGCAAACAGCAGCTTATATCACACTGCTGCTTACATTACCAACCATTCCTGCAGCGCAGGTGAAAGACCTGAAGCACCTGCAGTTCCATTAACCTGTCCATTTGCAATGGCTTTAAATCATAGACAAGAACCAGAGCATCTGGAGTGGGCTTATTCAGCTGCGTGTGCTTGGTGCGCTTCCCAGCCCTTTCCCACCAGTGGCTGGGATACCCTGGTTGTCAGCAGGCTCCCAGACAGCAGCTCCCAGGGGACTCACTTCCTTCTCATGCTGGGGAACAGATACCCATGCCAGTAAAAGAGCAGACTGTCAGTAGTGCCACGAACCAGCAATGTCAGACTCGAGACATATGTATGTCCATACAGACTTACACCAGCAATGGCAGATTTTATCTGGAGTTTATGCTGTGTATAAATTCACTCACACTAACTAACCTATAACTTAATCTTCAATCATGTTTATACTCTCTACATCCAGGATCTTATACTGGTTTTATTTGTCAGCTCACTCACGGGAATGTCAAAGGTGATCACTATAGAAAGATCCAAGGAAGTGACTATGAAGTCACTTTACTCATAGTAATGCCAACATAAAACGCTGATGACAGTATGTAGTTTTACAAGTGGGTTTTCCATTAACATTCTTGTAAAGGTGTCTGATAGCATTCACAAGAAAAAAATTAATTCCTTTACTGTGTGGCTACTACAGCTTGAACAAGAGAATCTATTAAAAAAAAAAAAAAAAAAAAAAACAGGATAAGGAAAGATCTAACTGCTCCATTTCTCGTGAATTCAAATTTGTATTCTGGATGCATCATGCTGCTGACTGTGCAAGTGCTAGGGCGTTTCAGCAGACTGCATTGGAGGTGGTAAAGAAAGCAAAAAGCTAAGAATGCAACAGAACAAACTTCATGCCATCATGTTGAAATCAGGAAGCACAAGAAACACCAGATGCAGGGTTCTTCCATAGACTAAATGCTAATATATAAGGACCCTGGAGATAGTTTAGAAAGGCTGACATCACCTTACTATCCACCACACCCTGCTCAGCAACACTAAACCTGAGGAAAGACCATGATTCTAACCATATGCGAATTTGGTTTTATATAATTATGAGAATACATTTCTTATTTCTACTTAGAAATAATGGCTATTCTATGTCAAGGACTTTCTAAAACAGTAACTGTGTATTTCCTGGTTTACTTTGCAAGGGAAAACATAGTACAGGTGCTAAGCAAAAAGCAAATGTTCTAGACATTGCCTAAACTACTGTGCTATTTTCAATAACTTCTTTGTATTATAGTCTCTTGACACCCATTTTTCTTCTCAAAGCAGGACCTAAAAAGAAGCCAAGAGATGAAGTTGATGGGGAGGGGAGGATTGTGTTTTTTTTGGTAAGAGGCAAGTGCTGAATGTCCAAAATAGTAGTATTGTGTAAATAAAACCATTTAAACAGATGTATTTACTGTGCTCACTTGATCTGCTGTTTTTGGAGAAGGAAGCAAGTGACCATCATGATGTTTGTGTGTTACTCTCAGCTGTATTTTCAATGATGCGGCTACTGTAATTCTTTTACTTTGCACATTTTTACTTTCAGCCTGACTCGGCTGTAGCCTGGGGCTGCCAGCCAGTGACTGTGTCACATGTCACACATCTGCACCACTCCTTTCTTAAGCTGATAGTTTCTATTTGCCCAGCATCAGACACACCATAAGCATTCAACAGCCAGAAGTATTAATTCTGACCCTTGATGTGCTCAATTGCATTATACTTGTTGAAAAACACCTATTTAAGTCGCATATGCCAGTTAAAAAACCCTCAGACTAATACAGAAATCATATCCAGGGTGATTTTTAGAGGTCTGATGTGGAGAGAGTTTGTGTCTCACACCTAAAGTCAGAAAGTTAAAAGAAAAAACAAGCACAAAACTCAGGAGGCTCCCTCACTACTTGTAACCACCAGTCCAGCAGAAGCCACAAGTTAAGCTTTCCAGGTTATTTCTGGTAGCCACCCTCCTCCCAGCGCCAGCACGCCACGCCAGGCAGCACCCCTGCGTTACTCCAGCACACCCACCCGAGGTCACACGCACATGCCTGGGGACGTCAGGACCTTGGCAGCAGTTCTAGCCCGGACTTCATGGCATGTTCCTTGAGAGACGAGGAGCACGACGATCCGCCGGGAGCGTGCAGGGAGCAGGCTTACCTCCAGGCAGCCAGGAGCAGAGGGCGGGAAGCTGACCCTTGGGCGAGGTGGGAGCACGTTCCCGCCGCAGCACCCAGCGGCTGCTGCTGTCGCTCCCAGGCCCCGCCGCCAGCTCTGCCAAGCCTCGCCGGGCGGGAGGCGCCTGGCGCGGACGGAGGGAAACATCGGAGGCACCGCAGGCCTCTGCTTCGCACGCCAGGAAGCTGAGCCCTACATGACAGGTTCAAGGAGCAGGAGGCTGCTTGACAGATTTTCTCCAGAGGGGCAAGTTTGGGTATGTTTGAGGCTGAAACCAAGAAAGATTATTTCAACATTACAATAAATTGATTCTGAGAGCTCTGAGCCTTCTCTGACATGACAGTCCTTGGAAGCTGTAAGCACTTTCTTTTCTTCCTGGGTCTTTTAAGGCAAGTGTGTTAAAGCGATCTATCATTGTGCTGGCAAGGGACGTCCTACATCTGCTGTCTCCCAGTACAAACAGCAGTGCAACAACTGACCTCTTTTCTCTTGGATACCCATTGTTTCAGCTATATACACGATGTTCCTGAATATTACTGCTATATCCCAGCAAACCAAATTATTCCAGGCTGTAAAATGCATTTCTATAGTTGCATCACAATAAAAATCTTCCCTTCCAATATTTAGTGGTACTGTTTGCTTTGCCTTCCTCCACAATGACAGACATGGCAATGATGAGACACAGCTAACAAAATGCATCGGGAAAGCACTAAATACCTTCTTAGCTATCTTTTCACTGATGTGGCAGCTGGGAAGAAGGAGAAGCCAGTTCCCCACGGGAACAAGTGACTGTTCCATAGTCTGGCAGAGGGCTTTTTCAAGGCATCTCCCAGGTCAGCAGGAAGGGAGAGCACAGGATATGAGCTGTCATTAACAGACCCTCCCATCACGCCTTTTCCACCTTCTGACTCTGCCCATTCTTATCAAATACCAAACCTCAAAAGACATTACACAGTGCTGATAAGGACACCAGCAGCTGACCTCCACCTCTGCCCCTTTTGCAGAACAAAAGTGAAACATAATCACCTTCCTCTGCATTGTTTTGCTTAAGTGAAGCCCGAATAAATGTATAGCAGAGGCTTTCATTGGTATTTTCTGGTAGCGTTGCATGCCCATTTACAAAACTATTATTTGTCAACGTGTGTTTAATTTTTGCCATAGAGAGTGCTACCAGCAGAAGTGTATTCCCACAGCAAAACTCTCTACACTGCAATATGAAATTTGCCTTGAAAACAAATTCAGTTGAAAAGGACAGATAAAGATCCAAGTGTTTAACAGTTATCTGAATGCTGACAGCATGTGGTTAAGACCACGTCATTTTGATAGCAAAGATTTTGACTTCCAAGTCCTAAAGAAGAATCCAACACACACCTGTGCACATGGAGAAAAGAAAAAAAAAATGAAAAGGCAGAATTCTCAACAGAACTACTTTATTTCACTAACTCTCAACTACAACTTACTCTGCAGCCCAGGGCTGGTTTGCAACAGAAGAATGAGTTTACTTTTTATGCAGTCTAGTGAGATGCAATAAAGCCATAATAAATCATACATTACTGGCTGGATTGCCAAAGCATTTATGGGCTCTGAGCTTGGTATTTTTGAAATACGCATTGATCAAACATTAAGTCATGGGAGAAGAGCCCTGTTATTTGGAAGGAAGAAAAGGGATGGGAAGCAAATATTGAATATAATTTCTTTTATCGACATCATTTAAGCTCATTCAAATTTGAATGTTTATACACATAACAGTCTTTATTATTAAAGCCATAGCAGATTCAAAAGCAATGTTCACTTTGCAAATGAATGAAAATTATTTCATATTCCTATAGCTAATAAATTATCTTCAATTAAAATGCTGATGTACAAGATAACAAAAAAGTCACAGTGAATGCAGTTGAGAGTCAAGAAATATCTTGATACCACAGTGTTATTGCAAACCTATTTTTTCAAAATAAAATACCCCTTTTATGGGTAGGAGATACTCTTCTAACTCTGCGACAACCATACTCTCCTGGGAACTTTCTAATTCCTGAAAAGTCAACTACCAGCATTCATTCAAGTGAATGATCACCTGAGAAATCTTTCAGAATGTGAATAAAAGATGAGGATTTATCAGGTCACTGAGTTGTGCTAGATTATTTTTACAGGAGAAAAACCTGTATAAACATAATAAAAACCATCATATGCTAAATGTTACACATATGAAAAAAAAAGTCATGACACCCTGCTCTAGCAGGGCCAGACCCCACCTCTGACTTAAGGCAGCACTGTGCAATCCAAAATAAAGATCAATCCCAAAAGGTTATTCTTAAGCACCTGAATAGCAGTGAGGAGGATTAAAGGATTGAACACTGTTGTAGAATAACATTTGGTCTTAAATGCTTACCTCAAATATGTACATATATATATACACACACACACACACACACACACATATATCTCTATACGAAACACTGGCATATCACAGTAAGGCATATTTAAGGTGTTCTGCTTATATGCAAGTCAGGAGAAGAAATAAAAGTGTCTCAGACAGTTCCTCAAGCGTAAGAAATTGCTTCTCAGTTCACTCTCAGGTGGATAGCTGCATAAGATGACTCCTGCATTTAGGTCTAATAAAATGTAACTTACAGGTCCTGTTCAAATCTATGTTTGCATTACTGATAAGCCTGAAGAAACTATTCTTTCTTACGCTAGGATACAGAATTCCAATGGAAATAACATTTCTCTGTGGGGAAAAAAAAACAACACTATTTAAAAGACAGAAAGGATTTTTTATTCTCATAGAAAACAACGTTAAAAGGAACAATTCAAAGGAACCTGGGGGTAGACAAAAGGGTGAGCAATACAGACAAAACATGGACTCAAGATTTTTTAAAAAAACCCTAACTATACAAATGTTTTCAGTGTTTCCAAATGGGTAAAGTACCTTCTGAATAAAAATCAGCTGCTCTTTCCAGCATTGCATTTAGGTGCTGTAGGACACCCTTACAAGTGGCTATTGAAGCACACAGTGACATTCACATAACCTCACCCAGCACATTTTGTTACAAGTGCACAAGTTCTGGCCGAAGGAAAGTTCAAGGCAAAGAAATACAAACAGGTTCTTCTCCCCCAGCTCAAATCCATCCTCCACGTAATGGTTTTTCCTACAAATAAGGCATAGCGGTTCAAGTACTACATTAAAAGTAATTGAACAATGGGAAAGAAAACCACCCATGAACTCTTTCCAGAAAAGTACTTTATTAGGGAGGATAAAAAGCACTGTTCAGACAGTCCGAATAGGAATGGCCTTCTGCGCTGTCAGGCTCCTCGGGCTCAAAGTCATCTGGGTCGGGGGGCAACTGGTCAGTATCTTCATCGGAAGTGGAAGGGCGTGTGAGGATTATCCGAGGTATCTTCAGCAAGATGTGAAAGATTTCAGAGAAAAGAGTCAGATCAAGAGCAGGGAAGTGTTTAAAGGGGCTATTTTATAAGGACAGGGGAAGCAGATGATGAGAAAAACATGCGAGAGATGTAATGCCGTGGGGCTTCCTGACAGGTTCTATGCCAAAGACTGCATTGATACATTGATAAAGCAAAATTGAGATAAATTGTCTTTTCATCTCATTAGCTAATTTGTTAAAAAATACAACATAGAAAAAAAAAAAATCTTCAAAAACTAAAGACAAGTAAATATGAAGAATATACATCTACTTTTATTTAACTCCATTACTCATTAAATTCATGCACCTGAAAGCAATAAAGGATTAAGGACCATAAAGCATATAAATTACTGATCTTGAAAATGTGCATATTTTGGCTTTTTTTCTGTCAAAATATATTTAAGGGAAAAATTAAGACAAAATATCACTGTGTAACTTTGTTAGTTAATAAATATGCATACATGGATTTGATTCGTACAAATTTTTTGGCCAAGAATTTTGTGTTCTTTGAGAACTATATTGTAACATTTAAAAATTAATTTAAAGGCTGTAACTGAGAAAAGAGAAGGATGTCAGATTTTTAATGTATAGCCAAATAATGTATCAGTAATGGTTGTATCAATGAATGCATTATTACAAGTTTAACTCTGATGCACAAAGTCATCCTACTTTTTACTAATTTTCAAAAAAAGTTTAACATGTAATGAAAACAGATATAACAGTAAGTCAATATATCTAATGAGCAGGTAATATAATAATGTGTAATAAATATAATGTCCATCTTACCAGTAGTCTGAATATTTTCAAAAAAGGTAGTATGTATTATTTATCAGCTACTTTGTTGCATTTCTTCACACTTTATAAGAATGTTTAATGTTGACACAATTCAATTGTTTAGATATTATTTCCTTGCTGTACATTATTAAGAAATGACACAAGCACACAGGTGCTTCGTGGCTGTTCAGCTGGCCAGCCAGTAGGTTTCTTCATTTAAGTAAAATGATTTATTCCCCAGGCTCCATCGACTGCATTAGCTCTGACTCCACTGACTCTCGGGGGGGCCTGGCACCCACCTAGCTTGCACATGCAAGTAAACGCACATCCTATATGTAGAGGTGGTATACTGGGTCATACATTGAAATCCTGCCACCTCAAAAACTAGCACAGAGGTCTATGCCCCTGCAGAAATCTCCAGGAAGAGGCTTTGCATTTCACTGAGCTGTCTGTTCAAAGCCCAGGGAAGACCCTTCTTTGCATATGGTGCCACTCAAAAAAGACACACACATTTCTCCAAGACCAGTCCTTCATTTTAAAATTTTTAAATTAATTATCTATATCTGAAAGAACCACAAATCTGAGATTGTAACAATATTGCTAGAGGAACAAATCCCATAGGATGCTTGGTTCTGACACAAATAGTCTCACATTTCTCCTAATGGTCAATACATTGCAAGCTGTAGTTAGGCTCTCACAACTTTCTGAAAAACTCATCTCATCTCATTTTCTTGATGACACTCACTCTCCTATGCCCATGGTCTGAAAGCCTGCACACCTATAGCACCTGAGCTGCAGCGGAGCCTCTGGAGGACATCCCCTCCCTGCCAGCAGAACGACCCTCCTACCAATGCCCCTGGTTAAATTCCCCATTAGATGACCACCTGCCCACCAGTTCATGCTTCTCCAACATTTTTATGGTAACCGTATCAACCGCTTCTGGGAAATAAATGTTGTTGAGGGAAGTCTTTCATCCAGTCTTTCATGCTGCTGCAGATAAAGAGGAACTGGCACCAAATGACCGACCAGCTTCCTACAGTGGAGGACGAACAACATCTCATCCCAGAAGTGCTGCAAAGGCTCCAAGAGGAGAGCAGGCTCAGCTCTGATCTACAGCAGTCCCTCTGTATCCTCTCCAGGCAGATAGAAGCTCGCATGTACACCCACTCATGCTGCTTCAGAGACATACTGCTGAGTTTCTCTAACAAACCAAGTATTCTGGTCCAACTGCAGCCGCGTCCTGTCCCCCTGCTTTCTGCACACGTCCTTGACCACTCTCCCTCTCAAGCCCCATGCAAACCCATACCACTGCTGTCCCCAAACCCACTACTGTGGCCAGTTGTCCTGCTCTGCTCCCACCTCCCCAGTGGGATGTGGAGGACCCCAATTTCCTCACAGCTGAATCACAGGTATCAATCGCAAAATAACTCTTGGTTGTGGATTCTGTCACCTACACAACTGCAAACTGAGAGCAAATCTAATTAAGTAACAGAATATGTATTTGTACAAGATCTAATTCAGTGAAAAGAGACTCAGGCCTCTGGTTTCTCTCTCCTATCATTAAAAGTTACAAGTTAATCTCCTGTTAAAAAAAAAAACAAACAAAACAAAAAAAAAACACCAAAACAAACAAAAAAAAGCACAAAATGGATGTCAGAAACACACATCATAGCTCTAACCACAGTGGCATTTCCATCTTCACTGAACTGTCCCCTAGGAACCCAGCAGGCTTTCTGTCACTGCTTTCACATTCACCCTGCCTCCAGGAAAATCACAATCTAAGCTTTATCAGCTTCCTTTCCTCTTCCAGTTTTGATTTTTAAAAAGTATCACAACTCAATAACTCTAAACTTGCATTATCTTGTGTTCAATCCTTTTCTTAAGCCCGGTGCTTCTCTTCCCAGAATCCCAGGGGGATTTTACCCTTGCTTTCAGATTTTCATGCTTATCTTCATTGACTGCAGCTTCACACTACTAAATAGGCAAGCTTTGCTCTTGGAGCTTTTCTTTAACATTCATATTTGGACATACATTTCCTGGTGCATCATGACTGAGGGAAGATAGAACGTGCAAAAAAAATGTCACAGCAAAGCGAAACAAACTATTTCCACTGCCCATGACAGACAGGGAAAGACAGAGATATTTAGGATGGAAACAAGGAAAATCCTTCCAGCACAGGCAGCTGAGGCTTAAAAGAGTCGCTTGCCTAAGGCATGTAGCAAGGTGTAGAATTTCATCTTCTACTAGTAACTCTTCAGAATAAATTGATCCTGGTGTAGGAGGACAGATTATCCAGGATCCTGTGTTGTTCCATTGTTTTACTCCACTAGTTTTTACTGAATGGTGTCTGAACTTGTTTAAAAGATTTCTCTTGAAATTGCAAAGTCCTCCTACTCACTTTGTATCATCATGCACTCATTATTAAAATAATACCTGAAGTACCAGTCAATCTCAAACCATCAAAATATGTAGAATGCCTTTTCAGAAAAATGTATTATTAATCATTTGAAACAAGTTATTATTTTCATTTATTCCCCTGAAATTATATTTTCAGTGCACAGAAAGTAAAATTCACAAAGGACATGTCCTGTACCAAAACCAATGTGTTCACATAGTGAATTTCTTTCACTACCTTGTTCGTGTCTTTCCTACACTTTTTCAGCATAAACACTACGACTTTGGACACTATAAAGATTCACTAAAAATTTTCATTTTGTTTAAATCAGGCATAGCTAGAAATCAAATTATTTCAGACACTCTTATTTAATTGAATTAACACCCTCCATTGAAAGTTGGAGTCCTTCAACTACTGTCCACCGCAAGAAACAGTAAAACAAATCCATCTAAATAACCTGGGGCAATTCAGCTGTGGTCTTTGCTGCAAAAGTTCTGTCATATCGAAACAGGATAGGAATAAACCCACAACTAGGTATGATGCTTCAGCTGAAAGTATCTTCTTAAAGCATGATAAATGTCTTGCCAACCAGTTAACATCCAATAATTTTTAACTTCCTGTTGTGCACATATGCTTTCCTTTTCCACTTCTAATAAAAATGTTTGTCCAAAAGGTTGCAGAACAGTCCATAAAGGACAGTTCATTATGTCTTTTTATAACCTTTTCAAAACCAAGAACAAACCCCATCACCTTTTTTCTCTTTTAAAAGCCTTCCCTTTCCCCTGATTCCTCCCCTTCCCCGTCCGTCCCCCCCCCCATACTCATATCTTAGTGGAAGAAGAAGAAGAAGAAGAAAGCTCTCAAGGCAATAGTCACAGCTAAAGCCCAAGCTTCACATGAAAGGCATAACCATCAGCAGCAGGGCAAAGCATGGCTGAGAGCAAGGCTAGCCATTGGGGACAGGCTACAAATCAGGAAGTGATATGACACATGAAAAGCCCTATTTTGAAAGAACAGAGTTAAGGAAAAAGGATTTTGATTGGCTTTTTGAAAGAAAACCAGTCATATCTTTAACCCTAATGCAAACAGAACACTTTCTAAAGAAAATACTCCCCAGCTAGAAAATACCTCTAATAGGAAAGCCTGCCTAGTTCAACTCCATATACCTAAATAGTACATATTTTTGAAATTTGACTTAACAGCTGATCTTCACTGACACCAGTGCTAAGGCTGGTGCCCTTCAGCTGGTGGAAATCTGGGAAAATAAAATAATCTACCCAGCTGAGAGCATTTACAAGGGTTTGTGTAAACCTCATGAATGTTATGATTTCATACTTAATTTTACCTTTTTTGTCATCACTGGTGATGGCAGTAGAATTTTAGACTTGAACAACAGGAAATTCAGACTTCTCTCTCAGCAATGAAAACATGCTAGATGCAAAAGGTTGCATTTGATCATGACTGTACTCATAGAAGAAACTCTCCAAATCAAATTCAAAGTGAAGGAAGGCATTTAGTCATGCCTAAAAAATGTTACACAGATGGATTTTTAAGTAATAGCTTTAAAAAGAAGATGCCAAAATGGATCCAACAAGAACAGCAGAGCATGGGCTGATCAACTGCTGTACGGTTCAGACCAAACTGGCATCTGGTGGCTTTTTAAATGGAAGATATGTGACGTTTCACTCCAAAAGACAGAGACAGATAAAAGAAACGTTCTTCCCAAGAGAAAACATACAGGAAATAGAAGGTAAAGAAGGGGAAGAGATTTAATTAATTCCTTGTGAATTTATTACCCACAAGC